CCTCCCTCCCTCCCTCCCTCCCTTCTGTCCTTCCTTCTCTTCCTTCCTCTTTCCCTCCCTCTTCTCTCTAAACTCAGGACCTGGGCACTGTCCTTGAGCGTTTGTGTTCAAGGCTAGCACTCTACCACTTTGAGCCACAGCACCACTTCCAGTTTTCTGGTGGTTTATGAGAGATAAGAATCTCAAGGACTTTTCTGCCTGGGCTACCTTTGAATCTTAATCCTCAGAGCTCAGGCCACTGAGTAACTAGGATTGCAGGCCTGAATCCTAGCTTTTGAATCCAGACCTTCTTTGTCCCACGTGGTAATGAAACACTTAAGCTTCTACTTTAGGTAAGGAAGAATGGAATATCTAATGATTTAATTTACTTCACATACAAAGAAACTACCTCAGAGAGAACATTTCTGGAACAATAAAAGTAAGCTTATAGGAAAAATTATCTATACAACAATGAATGCTGGCCATATTTGTTAAAATTAACTTTTCCCATAAGTCTAGAAATGAATGAAAGTCTTAGAATAATATAGGCAGGGTTTGATTTAAAAAAAAAGTGGTTGGGGCTGGGAAGGTGGCTCAGTGGTAGAGTGTTTGCCTTGCATGCATGAGGCCCTGGGTTCGATTCCTCAGCACCACATAAGCAGAAAAAAAAAGCCGGAAGTGGCGCTGTGGCTCAAATGGTAGAGTGCTAGCCTTGAGCTGAAGAGCTGAGGGACAGCACCCAGGCCCAGAGTTCAGGTCCCACGACTGGGACCCCCCACCCCCCAAAAGAGTGGTTGAGCAGGGTGCTGGTGGCACACGCCTGTAATACTACTCAGGAGGCTGAGATCTGAGGATCATGGTTCAAAGCCAGACCTGGCAGGAAAGTCCATGAAACTCTTACCTCCAATTAACCACCAGAAAAAAAAAAACCAGGAGTGGAGCTGTGGCTCAAAGTGATAGAGGGCTATCCTTGAGCAAAAGATCTGAAAAACAGCTCCCAGACCCTGAGTTCAAGTCCCACAACTGACCAAAAAAAATGGTTTACTCTTCATAAAGACAACATGTCCTGTGGCTTTTTTTTTGGTGCTATGACTGGGACTTGAATTTTGGGCTTCAGGGTTGCATTTGGCTTTTCCAGTCAAGGCTGGTGCTCTACTTCTCGAGTCACAGCTCTATTTCCACATTTTTTGGTGCTGGTTCATTGGAGAGAAGAGTGTCATGGTCTTTCCTTCCTGGATTGGCTTTGAACTGATCCTCTAGATCGCAGCCTCCCGAGTGGCTAGGATTACAGGTGTGACTGTGGCAAGGATTCCACAGTCTAGTTTCAGTGGCTCCCCGCCCCAGTGAGCATCCATCACCATGCCCAGTGCGGCTGTACCTACTCTTAGGCCAGGGTTCAGAGGACTGGCTGGCATGGCCTCTTTCTTGGGCATGGAGTGACTAATTGAGAAAGAAGCTGGTTGTGAGAGATGAAGTCTCTGTTTCTAGTCACTCTCCCACAAAAGTGAGAAAACTAGGAGATGATGACCAGGGGACACTTTTCTTTGAAGCGCAGAATTACTACAGGCATCAGGTCCTGTGCTAGGACTCACCTGAATGCCAAGACTTGACAGTCAGAAAAGTAGCTTTTGATGCTGCTGTTTCTGAAGACCGCATTGAGCTGAAAGACAGAATAGTGTTTCTTACCCAGAGCCAGAAGAGAATGCATGGTTCCTCAGAACACCTCATCATCTGTGTGTGCGTGTGCGTGTGTGTGTGTGTGTGTGTGCGCACGCGCGTGCACATGTGCACACACCAGTCCCAGGGCTTGAACTCAGCGTCAGGGTGCTGTCCCTGAGCTTTTGTGCTTAAGGCTGGTGCTCTACCACTTGAACCACAGCTCTGCTTCTAGCTTTTTGGTGGTTCACTGAAAATAAGAGTCTCTTGGGTCTGGCACTGGTGGTTCACTCCTGGAATCTTAGCTACTTTGGAGGCTTAGGATCCTGGTTTGAAGCCAGTCTGGGCAGGAAAATTTGTGAGACTCTTAATCTCCAATTACCCACCAAAAAGAAAGAGAGAAAGAAAGAGAGAAAGAAAGAAAGAAAAAGAAAGGGAAAAGTAAAAAGAAAGAAAGCTGGGTGCCAGTGGCTCATGCCTGTAACCCTAGCTACTCAGAAGGCTGAGATCTAAGGATCACGGTTCAAAGCCAGCCCAGGCAGGAAAGTCCATGAGACACTTACCCAATAAACTACCAGAAAACCGGAAGTGGTGCTGTGAGTCAAGTGGTAGAGCGCTAGCCTTGAGCAGAAGAGCTGAGGGACAGTGCCCAGGTGGGTTCAAACCCCATGACTGACCAAGAGAGAGAGAGAGAGAGAGAGAGAGAGAGAGAGAGAGAGAGAGAGAGAGAGAGAAGGAAAGCTGGAAGTGGAGCTGTGGCTCAAGTGGTAGAGCACTAGCTTTGAATAAAGAAAAAGCTCAAGGGCAGCACTCATGCCCTGAGTTCAAGTCCCAGGACTAGATAAAAAAAAGTCTCTCAGATTTTTCTGTCTAGGCTGACTCCAAACTTCAATCTTCAAATCCCAGCCTTCTGAGGAGCTAAGATTACAGGCATGCACCACTGGTGCCCAATTCTTTCCATCTGTTTTGTTTTTTTCTTGTTTGTGTGTGTTTTCTGGGAATGGAGTTCAAACTCAGGGCCTTGTGCTCTCACTTGGCCATTTTACTCAAGGCTAACACTTTACCACTTGAGCCACACCTTCACCTCCAGCTTTTTGGTGGCTCATTGCAGATAAGAGTCACACAGATTTTCCCAGTGGGGGCTGGCTTCGGACCATAATCCTCAGATCTCAGCCTCCTGAGTAGCAGGGATTACAGGAAAGAGCCACTGGTGTCTGTTCCCTTCATTTATTGTTATTTGGACAAATAGCTCAGGTGTATGTACCAAAGATATCTTCTTCTTCTTCTAAGGTCTGATACAACAGTGTGACCATTAACTAGCTCCCGAATGTCTCTGTGCTTGTTTCTGAACTTGTGAATGGGAAGAAGGGACAGTCTATAGGAACTGTGAATAGACAGCCTCTGATAACCCAGTGTCCATAGGTCAGTCTGGGCCTAGTAGCAGAGTGGACAGACAACCCATCCTCACCGCGTGTTCGATGCTTCTTTTGCTGTGCCGGTGCAGGGCAGTGCCTGGCTGGGCGATGTCCTGAGAATAGGGCAGGTTGGTGATGGTGAAGTTCAGGTGGAAGTTCTCAGAGCTGGGACTGCCGGTTGGCATTTCTGTAGGAAGAAGAATGGATGGTTTCACTCAGATTTGAACTCTGGGCCTTAGGTTTTTTTTTGGGTGGGGGTCAGTTGTGGGGCCTGAACTCTGGGCCTGGGTGCTGTCCCTCAGCTCTTTAGCTCAAGGCTAGCTCTCTACCACTTGAGCCACAGTGACACTTCTGGCTTTTTCTGCTTATGTGGTGCTGAGGAATCAAATCCAGGGCCTCATGCCTGCAAGGCAAGCACTCTACCACTGAGCCACCTTCCCAGCCCTGGGCCTTAGGTTTGTGAGGCAGGTTGCTCTTTCACTGAGCCACATCCTTATCCTTATTTTCAGATAGGATCATCATCCATGACTACCTCAGCCAACCTAGATGAAGATCTTCCTATGTACATTTCATAGGCTGTGGCTGGGATGACACACAGCCAATACCATACTCATCTTTTATTGGCTGAGATGGGGTCTTGCGAACTTTTTTTTTTTGCCAGAACTGGCCTTGAATTGAAATTCTCCTGATCTTGGCCTCCTGAGTAGCTGGGATTACAAGCATGAATCATCACATCTGAGATGTATAAGACCCAACAATTTTTTTCTTTTTTTTTTGTGCCAGTTCTGGGGCTTGAACTCAGAGCCTGGATGTTATCTCCAAGCTTTTGTTCTCAAGGCTAGTACTCTACCACTTGAGCCACAGCTCTACTTCTGGCTTTTGAGTGGTTTACTAGAGATAAGAATCTCATAGCTTTTCTTGCCCAGGCTGGCTTTGATCTCAGATCTCAGCCTCCTGAGTAGCTTGGTTGACAAACATGAACCACCAGCACCTGGCTTTGACAATCTTGCATACAGTATGTCTACTGAATTCTTCATGTACTTTCCTCCATCCATCTACCCAATCAACTTTTTTTTCTTTTTTTTTTCCACTCCTGGGGCTTGAACTCGGAGCCTGGGTACTGTCTCTGAGCTTCTTTTGCTTAAGGTTAGCAATCTACCAGCTTGAGCTACTTCTGGCTTTTTCTGTGATTAATTGGAGATAAAAGTCTCTTGGACTTATGTCCCTGGGCTGGCTTCAAACAGTGATCCTCCTATCTCAGCCTCCTGAGTAGCTAGGATTGCAGGTGTGAGGCCCTGGTGCCTGGCCCAATCAACCTATCAGGCGGAGTGCTGCTGTATTGCCCAGATTAGCCTTCTAACTCCTGGACTCCATTTTCCTGCTTTTCTCCTTCCAAGCAGCCAAGACTACAGGTGTTCACTATCACTCTTTCCCCGCCCACCCCCCATCCAACAACATTTAGTGGCCATTTCTCTATGTCCGGCCCAGGATCCAGTAGTAATTCTGAATTCATTTGATTGTAATGAATTCCTAGTCTGTGTCCATCTCTCCTTAATCTATCCTTTTCTGAAAGGATGAAGATGTTGGCAGGAATTGTTACTTCCTTCTCTGGATTTTGGGACAAATATGGGGGGGGGGTCACTGGCTACTCACCAACAGAGGCGATTATTGTGACCTGTTGAGTGTAACCTGCAGGGGGGAGAATTGGTTGGTATATATACATATATATGTATATATATATATGTTTATATATCTGCATGAACTAATCGAGGGAGCATGTGGACTCTACACTACAGCAAACACAGACAACTGACTCTCACCATTGACATGCAGGCTGTGCTGATCCAAGGTGTAGCTGCCCAGCTGGGTGGCATTGTGTGTCATTTGGCTTAGTTCCTGGTACAGCTGTTGGATATTCAGCCCGGGACCCACAGGGTCATGGTGGTAGGCACAGATAGCATTCACGCTGGTAGCGGCTCCATCTTTTTCAGGCCTGAGGGGAGGGGAGACAAAGCGGGGGAGGGAGAGAGAGAAAAAGTGGAGACTCTGAAGAGACCCTGGCACCCCTGAGGATGGGGAGCAGGAGAGCAGTGTTTAATCTCATTCCCCAACAGATCTGGTCCTTCTTGGCAAAATGGTGTTGCCTGCTCACCTGAGGGCGTTCAGTCTGCAGTGGGAGTAGACAGGGCCCAGGCTGCTGTTCCAGAACAAAGATTCGAGCTGCGGAGGAAGGAAGAGGCTCAGAGAGACAGGAGTTGGTGGGGGAGAAGGAAGGAGAGAGATGGGTAGAATTGATTCCGCCTCACCAGACGCTGCAGGATCCTCTCTGTGGCGTTGAACATGGTGGAGCCGGTGCTCAAGTCTTCTGAGAATGGAAGGTTGGTGATGGTGAAGTTGAGGGTGAATGTTGTCAGGGAGGAACTCGTGGCTGTGGGGAGGGGAGAAGGTGAGATGTTGGCAGTGGGAAATTGGCTTTGGCACCAGACTGGATTCCTAAATTCATGTTCTCTTCCTTCTCTCCATGCTTCACCATCCGCAGTAGCCAATGAGGCCACACAAAGTCAGAATATGCATACACGTCATCTCCACGCAACCATAAATTCTCCTCCTGTGTCATGCATTTCTTTCCCCATCTCCAGCTCAAGTCTGAGCTTCTCCTACCCAGGCCAGTGGATGGCTCTGTTTAAATCATTCCCTATGCTTTGATACTGGAAAATCTTTTCTTTTCTTTTTTTTTTGGGGGGGGGGTCCGGTCATGGGGCCTGAACTTGGGGCCTGCGCACTGTCCCTCAGCTCTTCAGCGCAAGGCTAGCGCTCTACCACTTGAGCCACAGCGCCACTTCTGGCTTTTTTCTTTTTGCTTATGGGGTGCTGAGGAATGGAATTGAGGGCCTCATGCATGCAAGGCAAGCACTCTACCACTGAGCCACCTTCCTAGGCCCTGGACAAATCTTTTCTGAAGTAATTTTTTTAAAACTAGGATCACTCTTTTTCTCCAAATACCACCTGTGGTTTCTTATGGATTTTCAGTGGTCAGCAACTTGGCTAGACATTCAAGGTCCTTTCCAATTCCAATCTAGTTCTTGCTGGTCTTCTAGTTTGATCCATTTGCTCTTGGTGGGGCCTTATGATTTCATGCAAACCAATGTCTCTCCCCAGTCCCCCAATATTCAGTTTCTGGCTACTGAGTCTTCATTCATAGAATCCCCTGAGCCGGAACTACCCCCCCCCCGTTCCCTTTTAATTAATTGGTTAATTAATTATTTTGTGCTGGTACTGGGGCTTGAATTCAGGGCCTGCTGTCCCTTAGCCTTTTAGCACTGTACCACTTGATCCACAGCTCCACTTTTGGCTTTTTTTTTGCTGGTTAATTGGAAGAGAAGAATCTCATGGACTTTATTGCCTGGGATGGCTTTGAACTGTGATCCTTCAGATCTCAACCTCTTGAGTAAGGAGGATGACAAGTGTGAGAGCCACCAGCACCTGACCAGCAATAATCTTTTATATCTTGTTTTTCTGGGTCATTCCTATTCATCCTGGAGGACTCCACGCATGTGGAAGTTTCTCTAGAAAGTCCTTCCCTCTCCAAACTAGGCCTAGTGTCTCCCCCAAATTCCATTTTGTGCTCTCATGGGGAGTTTATCTCAGAGGACTGGCAGCTACATGAGGACAGGCATTTGACTGACTTCTAGTGTAATTTACGATTACAGCAATGATCCCAACACTTTTAATCTGCATCTCCCAGCTTTCTAGCTCTGGAACGAATGTGTCAGCCTAGCTAGGAGACAGGAGGCATGAGGGATGTCATCCCCGGGGTGGAAAGGGGTCCCCAGGTACCTGTGGTAGATTCTGGCTGCACAGACGTGGCTGGAGAAGGCAGGATTGTGGTGGCTGGCTCAAGCGCTGTGGAAAAAGATTGTGGTCAGGGAAGGACAGAGCTCTGCCTTCTGCAGAGCTCTATACTATTCCTCTGGCAGAGGCCCAAGCCAGTGTTCCCATTTCCAAGAAGACCAGAAACAGGAGTGAGAAAAAGTATGGTTGTGTGTGTGTAGAGGGAGGGGTGAGGGTGTGATCAGCATTAGCTCAAAGGAGTCAGAGAAGTGAGTAAGAGGGAAGCCTAACATGGAAGATGTGTGAGTTGGATGGGCAAAAAGTGGGAGAAATCAAGAAAATGGATGAAGGGGGAAAAAAGCATAAATGGAGGGTCAGTGGGAGGCCAGGAAGAATAAAAATCAGAAAGAGACTGCTGGGTGCTGACTCATGCCTATAATCCTAGTGGCTGAGGAGGCTTAGAGGGGAGAGTTGTGGTTCAAAGCCAGCACAAGCAGGAAAGTCTGGGAGACTCTTATCTCCAATAAATTACTCAGAAAAAACTGGAAGTGGCACTGTGGCTCAAGTGGTAGAACACTTAGCCTTGAGCAAAAGAAGCTCAGGGACAGCACCCAGGCTTTTGAGTTCAAGCCCCAGGCCCAGCATCACACATATGTGCATACATGTGTGCACAGGCAAATCAGAAAGAGAAGTTGGGGAGACAGGAAGGAGAGAAGGAAGGACAAGCTGGTGAGTTGGTGAACAGATGTGTAGATGAATGGTGGATAGATGAGTAGACATGTTTGGATAGATGGGTGGATGGATTGAAAGATGAGTAAATGGATAAATGGATGGATGGATGAGTGAACCGGTGGATGAATGGATGGATGGATACATAGATGGATGGATGGGTTGGATGGATAGATTAGGGGTAGGTGGATGGGTGATGGAAGGATGAGTGGATTAATGGATAGATGAGTAGACGGATGGATGGATGGACAGATGGGTAGATGGATGAATTGGGGGTTGGTGATAGGTGGATGAATGGATGGATAATGGGTGGGTAGATGGATGGGTGGATGAATAGATGGATAGTGGGTGGGTGGATATATGGATGGTGGGTGGGTGGATATATAGATGTTAGTTGTTACCTGACTTTAACTTCTATCTCTATAGGGAATGCTTATTTAAATATCTTCCTCCAACCTGGAGCAGTGTGGAAAATTCAGAAATCCAACACCACGGGTACAGGTTCATAAACAGGTTAAGGACCAGGCTTTCATCCTTCTGCAGGGATCTTGACCCTACTCAGGAGATTGCCTGGCGTCTGGGGTGGGCCTTCTCTGTGACGAGGAGAGAGCTATGGCCCATGACCCATAGGGGCTAAAAGGGGAGGGGGATGAAGACACATACTTGTAGGAGGCTTGTCCGGACCCGGTTCATTATAACCTGGAAAACAACGTCACACAGTGGGTAAAACTGTCCCGGTGGGGCCACCATCTACATAGGTCTTCCTGAACTCTGCCTGGAGTCAATGTTCATATAGGAAAGTGGAACCAGGTAACTTAAGGGGGTGGGGTTGGGAGAGATGGGGGAGCATGATCAACATGCACTGTACTCATATACCGACACGTTGAATCAAAACCCCTTTGTGTTCTTTAACAATAATAGTAATGATGGTGAAGAAAAGAATTTCCTAGCTGGGCCCAGATGGTGGCTTACACCTCTCATCATCCTAGCTACTCAGGAGGCTGAGATCTGAGGATCACAGTTTGAAGCCAGCCTGGGCAGGAAAGTCGGTGACACTCTTACTTACAATAAATTACTCAGAACAAGGCATAAGCTAGCCTTGAACACGAAGAGGCTCAGAGACAGAGCCCAGGCCCCGAGTTCAAGCCCCACAATCAACAAAAAAGGGGGATTTTTCAAAGATAAAGATTTGCAGGATGGCTGCGGAAGGTTTACGAATTACCCTTCCGTGTCTCCTCTTACAGAACAGATCACTTGGCCTTTTTGTGGGGTGCAGGGGCCTAGGGTGGTGGGACTGAGGGCCTGCTTACCATTGAGGTACAGACTGTCTTTGTCTAGCAGGTAGGGGCCCAGCCGGGTGATCCCACGTGTGTGCCAGCTCAGTTCTTGGAACACCAGCTTGGCAGGCAGTTCCAGGCTGCCCGGGGCCTTCCGGTAGGCACAAACCATGTCTACTTGTGTCTGGGCACCATTATTCACAGACCTGGTGAAGGAGAGGGTATACTTTTAGGGTAGGGGTGCAGCATCTGTATCTGTGGTCCCCACACATCAGATAGCCCAGTCCCCAGCCATGTTGAATCGCTTGTGGCTACTGCAGAGACACAGGCATTCTTCCTAGGTCTGCAAGCGTCTCTCCAGCACTCCTTTCCCAGGTTATTTCCTGGTCACTGTTCAGCTCTCAGCTTTTGTTTCTCCTCCTCCTCCTTTCCCTCCTCTTCCTCTTCCTTGTTACCCTCTTTCTGTTTGCTCCCCTTCCTCTCCCTTTCCTTCTTTCTCCCCCTTTCTCCTGTCTCTTCTTCTGTCACCCTCTCCTCCTCATTCCCTTCCTTCCTCCTCCCCTTTCTTTTCTTCTCCTCCCTCTTTTGTTTCCTCTTTCTCTTCTTTCCCATTTTCCTCTTTCTCTTCCCCTTCTCCTCTTTCTTTTCCTCCCCTTTTCCTTTTCTCTTCCTCTCCCTCCACTTTCTCTTTCTCCTCCTCTTCCTCTTTATCTTCCTTCACTTCTTCTGCCTCCTTTTCCTCAAAAAAATTTCCCTGCCCCAGGATCGATCAGGGGGCTCCTCTGGATACTATAGTCCCCACACCCTTCCCTCTGGCCCATCTCAACGTAATCATAAATCATTTATCCTTATTCCTTCTAGATTGTGGTTCCGTGAGGGCAGCGTTGTGTACTGTTGGCCTCTGGAGGCCCCAGCGCCTGGCACAATTGCCTCCCCATGGGAAAGCTGGAAGTGGAATTGTTGTTCAAGTGGGAGAGTGCCAGCCTTGACCAAAAAAGCTCAGGGACAGCATCTCTAGTACTGGTATGCACGCATGCGCGCATGTGTGTGTGTGTGCACGCACACACACACACGAACATTATGCTAAATGAAACAAACTGGGGACCACAAAGCAACAGTGGTCTCACTTCTACATGGAATCTAAAAAGATCTTAAATGAATAACAGTCATAGAAGGAGAGAGTATGGCGGTGGCAGCCAGGGCATGGGACACAGTGTTAGAGCTCTTGTCTCGCATTTGCAAGGGTCCTGGGTTGAATCCACCACTCCACAGAAATAAAGGGTGGAGGAAAAGAAAATTTCAATTAGAAGTGTGTTTGTAAAAGACAACTATCGGGTCTGGGAAGGTGGCTCAGTGGTAGACTGCTTGCCTAGCAAGCATGAGGCCCTGGGTTTGATTCCTCAGCACAACATAAGCAGGAAAAGCCGGAAGTGTCACTGTGGCTCAAGTGGTAGAGTGCTAGCCTTGAGCTGAAGAGCTGAGGGACAGCGCCCAGGCCCAGAGTTCAGGCCCCATGACCGGACTATTAAGTTTAATCATTTAAGTTTAGATGATCACAAACACAGGTAGCTAAATTGTGATAGCAGAAGGGCCAGGAGCTCAGGAAAGGAGTTGCTCAGTGGCCGAGCACTGATCTGTTCTGTTACAAGGCTCTGGGTTTGGCCCTCAGCACTATAAATAAATAATCATAAGGTAGAACATTTGTTTTTTGTTAGTTGTGGGGCTTGAACTCAGGGCCTGGGCACTGTCCCTGAGCTTCTTTGTGCTCAAGGCTACTGCTCTACTATTTGAGCCAAAGCTGCATTTCTGGTTTTTGAGTGGTTATTTGGATATAAGAGTCTCACTGGGACTGTTCTGCCCAGGCTGACTTTGAACTGTGATCCTCAGATGTCAGCCTCCTGAGTAGCTAGGCTTACAGGCGTGAGCCACCATTGCCTATCTAAGAATGATATGTGTGTGTGTGTGTGTGTGTGTGTGCATGCACGTGCGTGCGCACGTGTGTGCGCACGTGTGTGCCCGTTGTGGGCCTTGAACTTAGGGCTTGGGTGCTGTTCCTGAGCTTTTTTGCTCCAGGCTAGTAGTGCTCTTCCAATTGAGCTACAGCTCCACTTCCGTTTTGTTTTTTGGTGGTTCATTGGAGATAAGAGTCTCACAGACTTTCCTGACTGGGATGACTTTGAATAGAGATCCTCAGATTTCAGTCTCCTGAGTAGCTAGGATGACAGACGTGAGCCACTGGCACCTGGCTAAGAATCTAAATGACTGAGGGGAAATGGAAATCCCAGCTTCCTTCAATCCAAAGGGATCCCATATTGTAGAATTGGTACCATGAGAATTCCAAGTCTTTCTGAGTGAACAGTGGGTGGGGGAGGGGAAGATGGGGAGGTTGGGGATGTAAGGAGGGGTGTATTTCTCACCTTAGGGTGGTGACCCTGCACCCAGTATATCGGGGACCCAGGCTACTCTTCTGGAACAATGGGCTGAGCTGGAGGAGAGAGTATGGGAGGGGGGTGAGAAGGAGGGAGAAGGAGGGATTAGTGACAAGTGTTAGGCCAAGACTGGGCATGGAAGGTTGTCATGGGACAGGAGGCTGCTCACCAGGTGCACCATGAGGGCATCTGTGATGTTGAACTTGACAGAGTCAGGGTGGCCCATGTCAGCTGAGTAGCGCAGGTTGGCGATGGTGAAGTTCACAGTGAACAGCTCCTCACTGATCTCGCCAGCTATGTAAGGTACAGAAATTATGGGATATTGAAGGAAGATAGTGGGTGGGTGGGGTTGGAATGGAGTGGGGTTCCTTGGTGTGGGGCTTCCAATGACCCTTTGTCTGTCTCCTGGTAAAGTCCAGGATGACTTGTGAAAAAAGACAACTCTAATGGCAAGGTAAGGGTGTCCTTGACTGGAGGTCTAGGTGGAGGATTTCCACTCATCCACCCACCATCTATCCATCAATCCACCCACCCAGCCACCCATCCATCCATTCATCCAGCTATCTATTCATCTATCCATTTACTCATCAATCCACCATCCATCTACCCATCCATCCATCGATCCACATACCCATCCATTTACCCACCCACCCACTTATCAATCTATCCATCTATCCACCCATCCATCTGTCCACTCATCCATCCATCCATCCATTCATCCATTCACCCATCCATCCATCCATTCAATTATCCATCCATCTAACCACCCACCCACCCATCTATCCATCCATTCATCCATCCACCCATCTATCATCCATCCATCCATCCATCCCATCCACCATCTATCCTTTCACCCATCAATCCATCCATACACACACACACACACACACACACACACACACACACACACACACATCCACCCTTTTATCCACCCATCTACTTAAACAACTCATCCACCCATCCGTTCATTCACCCACCCTTCCTTCACCTTTCCTCACTCTTCCGCTTCCTCTCTTTTATATCTTCTATGCATCTTTCTGTCCTTCCTGTCCTCTCTCATATCCTAGCTTCCTTCCCATCTTCCCTTCATCACTTTATCACTTCCCTCTATCCCCCTCTCTCTTTCCTTCCTTTAATCTTTCTCTTTTTTTTCTTTCAGAAATCACTCTACCATTTGGGTAGAGCTCTTTTTGTTTTAGTTATTATTATTTTAGATAAAGTCTTCTACTTTTCCTCTTTGGACTGCCTTCTGATGGCAATGTTCATCCCTATGTATATGATGCCCAGCTTTTTTTTTGCCCTTTTTTGGGGGGGGTCAGTTATGGGGCCTGAACTCTGGGCCTGGGCACTGCCCCTCAGCTTTTCAGCTCAAGGCTAGCACTCTACCACTTTAGCCACAGTGCCACTTCTGTTTTTTTCTGCTTGTGTGGTGCTGAGGAATCAAACTCAGGGCCTCATGCATGTAAGGCAAGCACTCTACCACTGAGCCACCTTCCCAGCCCCTGTTGCTAACTTTTTGCCTGAGTGTTCACTTCAAATTGTGATCTTCCCAATTTCTGCCTCTCCAGAATAGCTGGGGTTCTAAGCATGAGCCAGTGAAGCCATCCCTTGCATCGGTTTCTTCTTCCCTTTCCTTCCATCTCTTTATTTTCTTTCATCCATTCATGGATAAATCCTCCAATCTTTCCTTCCTCCTTCTTCCTTTCAAACCTTCTTTTATGCATCTTCCTGTGCATGCTTCCTTCCACCCCCCTGGGCTGAGCGATGGCTTCTATCACCAAGGATTGGAGCTGAAGGAGGAGAACAGTTGCTCCACAGTCTGAAAATGGAACTGGTACCCAGAAATGAGGGCCAGGAATACTTACTGGTGGTAGTTGGGACTGCAGCTCCAAGGCTGAAACCTGCAGTGAGGAGAGAAGAGAAGCTGATGGCAGGTTGAGTGAACATGAAGGATTATGGGTAAAAAAGAAGACTTTTGATAAAAGCAAAAGGAAAGAGGCAAGGGAGTGGAGGCAAACAGGTGCTAAGATCGCAAGGCAGCTGGACCTGGTCATTGTCCTCTGGATTTGAGGTTTGAACTTGGAGCCTTGGACTTCTTCCACTGGTACTCTACACCTGAGCTATGCCTCTAGCCCACTTTATTTTTGGTTAGAAATGGAGTTTCTTGGACTTTTCTGCCCGAGATGGCCTCAAATCTCAATCCTCTGGATCTTAGCCTTCTGAATAGCTGGAATTACAGGGTTTGAGCCTGTTCTGGTTCTCCGGATGTTTTTGATTCATCACCAGGACTACACAATCCAGCCCCACAAAAAGGGGAACAACTCAGTTTTTGCTCAGCACTTTGGGAAAACCCCAAACTCCAACTGGGGTGGAGAGAGTATGGCAGTAACATGGACCCTTACCATTGACATAGAGACTGTTCTGGTCCAGAGTGTAGGGGCCCAGCCGGGAGACGCCGTGGGTTTCATGGCTCAGCTCCCAGTACAGCCGCTCTCTGTCCGGTCCAGAGCCAGTAGGGTCAGGGTGGAAGGTACAGATGGCATTGACACCTGTGGCTGCCCCATCCTTTGCAAGCCTGTAGAAGAAACGGGATGTAGAATCCTGAGGAGGGGTCCCACGCATTAAGGTTGTGGTGAGAATGCTAAGTGTGTCTCATCTGAGACAGCCTCCTTGTAGAGGACAGAAAGTGTGTGTGTGTGTGTGTGTGTGTGTGTGTGTGTGTGTGTACGTGCGTACGCTCGTTGGTACTGGGGCTTGAACTCGCAACTTGGGTGCTGTCCCTTAGATGTTTTTTTTGCTTAAGGCTAGTGCTCTACCACCAAAGTCATACCTCCACTTCTGGAGTTTGGTGCTTACTTGGAAATAAGAGTCTCACAGACTTTCCTGCCTGCCTGACTTGGCACCATGATCCTTAGATCTCAATCTCCTGAGTAGCTAGGATTACAGGTGTGAGCCATTAGCACTCAGCTCCAGAAAACATTTTTGAAATGAGTAATCCTCCCCCTTCTTCTAAGAGGAGAACCCTCATTTCCAGTGGAATGTTGTTTAGACTTTGTGCACTAAATGTAGTTCCTTGTTTGGACGACTCCACTTCTCCTGGGAAGAAAAAGGTTTGAAGGTATTGTGGTGGATGCTGGAGTTAGGCCTGAGCCCTGCTGTTAGATCTGCCCAGGAAAAAATGGCCCATTCCTTTTGTTCTCTTCTCTTGCAGTTCTGCACATGATCTCACCTAGAAGTCCACGCCCAGCACCTGTAACCAGGTAACTGGTGCACCTGGGGGCAGTGGGAAGTCCCCCGGCACTGAGATTACTTCGATATCCATTAAGGCCACACCTCCTTTTTGCCCTTTCCTGTATCTCTCTTTCTTCCCCTCCCCCCATACGTTCTCTCTCTGCACACCTCCATCTACATCTGGAGCAGGCAGATTTGGCTCTCCCATAGAAACTCTCTTCTGTCTGAACAGTGTGGAGGTCTCCTTTCTCCAACCCTTACACCTGCTTCTGCTTCCATCATCCTAGGGAATGATTCCGTCTGGGGGAAGTGTGTGTGTGTGTGTGTGTGTGTGTGTGTGTGTGTGTGTGTGTATCTTACCTCAGCGAAGCCAGGCTGCAGCCTGTGCAGAGGGTGCTGATACTGGTCTTATTGAGCAAAATCTCAAGCTAATGAGAAAAGAGAAGGAGGTTAGCAAGGATGGCTGAGAGCCTGTGATATGAGGGTAAGATGATTATGGGCAGAGGCTCACCAAGCGCTGTAGGATCCTCTCGGTGGTGTTGAACTTTGAGGAACCTGGACGCCCCATCTCTTCTGTGTAATGCATATTGGTGATGGTGAAGTTAAGGGTGATGGGTACCACGGTAGAGATACTGGCTGTAATGGTGGAAGACAAGAAGAACATCCAGCTTGGGCATTCATGATCACAGCTGTCTGCAGCCCTAACTGTGGGCCACTAGTTGTGAACTGCTAGAGAAGAAGGAGGGAACATCCTGGAATTTGTTCAAGTGTGCATTCATAGAGTGCTTAATGTATGCAAATCACTTCAGGGAGAAAAACCAGCCTGGCACAAGGGGCCCTGGCAGAGGACAGAACATGGCCCCTCAAGGAACTTCAAGTTCTTTCATTGTGGCTGTGAGGAAGGGTAGACATGAGATCAGAGAGACAATAACCATAGAACACAGGATTGTCTATGGCCAGATGGCATTGTCCAAATTCTGTCAACATGACCAGAGTGATATGAACCTCTGCCTGCTGGCAGGGATATTATAATTACTAAGAGGAGAATAGAATAGTAGAGGCTACTCCAGTGGTCCTAGCAACAGAAAACAAAATGGTGCTGACCTAAATGAAGTTTGAGGGATGTAAATGTAGACAAAAGAAGAGCTGGCATGAAGTCTCAAATAGAGAAGAGAGGAATTTGGTGATGGATGAATTTGCAATGTGTGTGAGAAGGCTCAAGGTTAGCCCTCTCTATCTTTGTCTTTGGCAATGAGGGAGAAGGCTTGGAGTGCAACAATGCTTTCCACGTGGAGATCAACTGGTCCCTGTGATGTCCAGGAGACACGTGGACGAATACTCAGGAATTCCTGTGTAATATGATGAGGGATACAGAATGGAATCCCAAACAACAAGATGGGCCCCAGGACCCATGGAAATGCAAGTGTTCCTTGGAGAAGCTGAGTAAGCCACCAGAGACTTGATTTGCTACAAGGGATGGGGTAGTCATTCATTAGTTTTGTGCGCATGAGAACCTGTGGTTCTTCCTACCTGTGGTTCTGGCAGTCAAAGATGGAGCCAGGGAGGAAGCAGGGAAGACTGTGGCTGTCATAGATGCTGAGGAATAAAAAGCAAGGAAGTGGAAATGAAATAAAAAATGTATGGTACTTTTTTTCCTCCTTCCCTCCCTTCCTTATTTTTCTTTTAAAAAATTCTGTGACAGTCCCAGGGTTTGAATTCAGGGCCTGAGATCTATCCCTATTCTTCACTCAAGGCTAGCACTCTACTGCTTGAGCCACAGCTCCACTTCCTTTTTTTTGGTGGTTAATTGCAGACAAGAGTCTCACAGACTTTCCTGTCCAGTCTGGCTTTTGAACCACAATCCTCAGATCTCAGCCTCCAGAGTTGCTAGGATTACAGGTGTGAGCCACCAGTGCCTGGCACCCCCATCATGGCTGTAGTTATAAGATTTTGTGCCTCTCTCTCTGTACCTCAAACTGTCTGGAGATGTCCTTCATCTTGGGTGTGTGTGTTGGGGGGAAAGAATGGGAGACTCTTATCAACCCCAAACTCAGCCCGCATTTCTGGACACCTCTTCTGGATTTCGTCCCATTTAAAAAGTGGGTACCAGCTGGAGAGGTTAGCTAGCTTGAGATCTTATTTTATTTTAGAGGTGTTTAAAGGCAGCCAGGGTTACAGAAAACACATGGTTGGGGTGATGCTTGGGGCTGGCTGTTACCTACAGCAACACACACACACACACACACACACACACACACACACACACACACAGATAAGAAAGGAAGCAGGAGAGATGCCCTTATCAGTGAAGTTTAGCTACTGGAGAGACAGTGGATTGGTGATCTGCCCCATCTACAAGGATGATTCATTAAAAGGAAGACAGAGCCCTCATGGGGGAAACTTCAGAGTCCATTTCTGGACTGCAGACACAGGAGCTTGGCTAAAAGAACTTTGATGTTTGAAGATAGATAATTAAAAAAAAAGTGATAGTGCATGTGTGTGTGTGTGTGTGTGTGTGCGCGCGCGCGCGTGTGTGCACGTGTATGTGCACACATGCACCAGTACTGGGGCTTAAATTAGCACCTATGTGCTGTCTCTTAGTCATTTGACGCAAGGTTAGTGAGCTACCTCTTGAGCCACAGCTCCATTTATGGCTTTTGGTACTTCACTGGAGGTAAGAGACACATGGACTTTTCTGCCTGGCTTGGTTTCATGATCCTCAGATCTCAGTCTCCTGAGATTATAGGTGTGAGCCATCAGCAGCAGGTTTAGCCATGTGAGATATCTTTTAAATAGTTTTAAAAAAAATGTTGAAAGGAGCTGGGCACTGGTGGCTCACATCTGTAATTCTAGCTACTTAGGAGGCTGAGATCTGAGGGTAGCAGTTTGAAGCCAGTGCAGGCAGGAAAGTCTGTGAGTCTCTTATTGCCAATAAATTACCAGAAGAGTTAGAAATGGAGCTGTGGCTCAAGAGGTAGAGCTCTAGCCTTGAACAAAAGAAGCTCAGGTTCAGCACATAGTCCCTGAGTTCAAACCCCAGGACCAGAAAAAAAAGAGAGAAAAAAAGAAAAAGAAAAAAATATGTTGTGATTGTATATTTGGTTGGTACATTTGTTAAACATATTTTGTTTTGGAAAAAAAAGGACTACACTGTGAGGCCTGGATCAAAGTGTGAGGAGCTTGGAATAGAAAGTAGATGTGACATAGCCTCTCCCCCACTTTCCCTGGCCCTACACCCCAACATGGTCCTTTACTATTCAGGGATAGTTATCCCTGCAGAGGATGCGGGAAAGGGATCATCGTGCACATCCCAGAGAGGAGGATCCTATGTCTGGGGTCTTGGGGCTCTGGCTTCTTGTCTATTGGAGGCTGGAGGTGGGAGTGGGTTTGCAGAATGGAGGCAGGGAGCCTCAGGTATGGGGCTCAGGTGAAAGACGGCAGGGATATGAAGACTTTTAAAACATGATAATACTCACGGCCAGGGGTCGTGGCCAGGATGTGGTGGGTATAACCTGTGCAGAGAGAGAAGGAGCCAGTAAGAAGTGTGTGTGTGTGGGGGGGGAGACAGAGGAGAGAGGGAGAATGTGAAGCAATACAGGATGGCCTCTGCTCACCATTGACATAGAGACTGTCCTGGTCCAGGCTGTAGGGCCCCAGCTGGGTGATGCCAAGCGTCAGCTGGCTGAACTCCCTGTATAGCTGCTCTCTGTCCAGCCCAGGTCCTGTGGGGTTGGGGCGGTGGGTGCAGATGGCATCCACTCCTGTGGCAGATCCTTCCTTCTCAGACCTGAGGATGGTGGGTAAAAGTGATTGTAATCACAAGTTTATACAGGGAGGAGTTCAGAGATGCATAGCAGGCAGGGTAGGAAAGAGTGAGAAGGAATGAGATGTTTGGAATGGAGGTGAGAAGCGGGAATTCTGTATGTGTGGAGTTGGAGGCTAGAGTGCCAGGCAATGAGCAAAAGCATCAGATTCTGAGTTGGAATTCCACTCTCAGACCAAATAGAAAAGACAAGAAAGGGGGAAAAAAAAGAATTCTCTGTGGTTAGCCACTTTCAGCAAGCCTGGACCTATGAACAAAGTGAGAGACTCAAGGGTATTTATTAGAGCCAGAGGCCAGTGGCTCATGCCTGTCATTCCAGCTCCTCAGGAGGCTGAGATCTGAGGATGGGACAGGAAAGACTAGGAGATTCTAATCTTTAACTAAGCACCAAAAAGCCCCAAGAAGAGCTATAGCTCCATGGTAGAGCTTCAGCCTTGAATGAAAAAGCGACAGCACTCATGTCCTAAGTACCAGCACAAATAAAATCCTGAAATAACGTAACAAAAAGAAAAAAAGAATACCAATTACACGGTATTGTTCTGGCATGAGGAGAATAGAGAAAGATGGACAACTGAAATTGAGGAGGTAAGCAAGTGGAAAAGGCACACAAATACTTATCCTGTGGACAGAATTGAACACCTACAGGAAATGTCTTCATTGGGAGAGTGAGCGACTGAGAATTCAAAAGGTATCAGCAGGGTAGAGTGAAGAAGATGCTGGTCTGAGCAGGACTCTAGCACAATTTGGGGTGGGGGAGATGGTAGGATGAACAGACAGCTTGGTGCTGGCTCCAGTGCCTCCTGCAGTCCACCTCTCTGGAGGTCATGTAGAGGGAGGCAGAGAGGAAGCTGATAAAAGGGTTGGGGCCTGGGAGCAATGGGGCAGCCTTGGCTGTGTGTTCTGAGCACTCACCTGAGCAGGTCCAGTCTGCAGCCAGAGAAGAGGGGTCCAACACTGGTGTTGTGGAACAAGGGCCCAAGCTATGGGGGAGAAAATAAGAGCTGAGGCAGAGAGGCAGGGCTTAGCAGTCAAGGTTAGATGGACTGGTCACCAGTGGCTGGAGGAGAGGTGTTTCTGGGCATAGATGACATGAATCTAGAAAGCGGTGGGTGGGACCTTAGGAGTGGGCGGGGCCAGAGTGAGGTGATACCTTAGAGGTGGGAGGAGCTGGTGTGGGATTGGAGAGGAATAAATGTGGGCGGGGTTGGAGTGTGCTGGTCTGTGCCTTAGAGGTGGGAGAGGAC